TTGTTTCCTTTTTTCCTTCGGGTCTCTCCTTAAAAAATACGTCCAGGAGTCCGTCAGACTCCTAGGACCCAGTGGGCTGGGAATGACGGGCTGGCGGAGGCGTGAAAACTATTCCCTGGACTAGGGAAGGGGTGACCCAGGGCCCTGCAGGGTTCTTCCTCCGAGAAGACGGAGGGACGACAGATTTCTTTGCTTTGGTGAGAAGAGGCTGCTAGCACTGGAATAAGGCATGGAAAGGTGCGTAGGATTTTAAAGATTTTTCGTCACGCTAACTGCCTGGATTCCCGGACCCACTCGCGAGTTTCCTCACATGGTGTCACGCACTCGCGCTCCCCGGGCCTAACCGGGCAAGCTTCTAAGCAGTTCCCCACAAACTAGGCTTCCCTCCACCGCAGCTCCGCGGAGGGACCACTGGGCAATCCAGTCGGGCGACCTGGCCGGACGGATCAGCGCAACCATCGGGGATCCCACGAGCCCAAGGCAGGCCTTGCAGTGCACCCGCCAGTCGCGGGGAGCACACAGCCACATATAGTGCACTCGACTAGGCACGTCGGGGACTCAAGGTACGCTGCACTGGACAAAGTTTTGAGCTCTCTCTCTCTACTTTTCTGGGAAAGAAATCGACAAACTCGTATATCATAGACCTGGGGGAGAACCCAAACCTCCAAAAGATATCGCGAAGTGCTCCAGCAGACTACAGGCTTGCGTATTCGATAACGGTTTTGTTTTGTTTTGTTTTTTTTAACAGACAAGTCAGGTTTGGATGATTCCGGTCCCTTCTTACTGCTCACTTTAATTTTATCACCGATCATTGTAGGTGATTCGTTAGGAAATACGTTACCAGATATTGAGTAGTATGAAAAGAACAACCAAGCAATAAAAAGCCCCACAAAAACACATAAGGGACCTAACCACACCACCCCAGCATTCAGGTGCTAACCTACTTATTTGAAAGTAATTTATTTTCCATTTTCCCCCGTTCTTCCCTCTATTCCTCCCCCCTCCCCCACCTCAATTGAAGGCTGAAAGAAAGAATAAGGGCTTTAACATTTAAATGTTGTGGTCTGGTAATTACTTTTTCCCCCCCTCACTTTTCCCCTAAGTTCCAATGTGAAAACCTCACAGGGGGGTCTTTGCTGTAGAAGGACTATAGTCCCCAATCCAGAGCACAAGATCTGCAATTACAAACCCATTAGGTGCCCCTTGCTAGCATTAATATGCACAAAATCCTGCTGTTAATCTTATAATCTGTTTTGTTTCATCAATTGCCTTCCTAGCACTAGGGGGAAAAGGAATAAAAAATAGAAAACATTTCAAGCATCCTAAGGTAAACTGAGCCTATAAAAACAAATTTTCCTTAATATGAAAAGAACACGAAACTCATTTTTCCCTCTTATGGAAACGTTAAAAAAAACCCAACATCCAAAACATCAAAGGTCAATTTCCCCAACAAAATTAATAAGAATTCATATGGTGTTAGTAATAATACTGTACATATACATTTTAAAGAGTGTCAGTCTGTTCCCTTTACTAGCAAGCAAAATATATCATGAAACAATGTCACTGTCAAATGCAAATCAGAGTCAGAAATGAGGACACTTCAATACCTAGAGGAAGAGCATCTTAATACTTTTTATTTAGAGGGAACACCTTTTTTTTTGTCAGAGTCTGACAGAAACCCCCAAGAAGGGGGACAGATATTACTTGTCCCTTATATTTAACATTTGGGAATGTGGAGTGCGTTTGACTTGAGTGCTTTCAATTCCCTGGGAACTTGGTAACTTCTGAGTCTGGAGTGGACATGCTAGAGTACCCTTCCTCACACCATTTCAATAATACATGATTGTATTGATATAATCCTCCATACAATAAAATGAGGTTGTCACAGATTGTCATTAAGACCTCAGTAAAACAATGAAGACATTATTGGGAACCCCCCCTCAGGCGAGGTATTAGGGGAATAAAACAATCTACACCACACGGGTCCTATTGAGATTAATGAAAAAATTATGCAAAAAAAATCTCATTTTCATTTTCCTGTGACAGGGCTTTGAATATATACAGTTCGCCTTGCACTGCACCTGATGATTTATTAAACTAATCTATGGTGATCACCACCAATGTCCTCAACTCAATCTTGTCCCAGCTCATTTTCTAAGTAATTGTTTCTCATTAGTTCTGATAATGTTTTAATAGTGTTACCCATAATTTAGTCACCCAAGAATTAATAACAGGAGGGTAATATGCAAAGGAGGGTTATGATGAGCTACAGAAAATATAAACAGGTATAGTCTTTAATTAATCAGATTAGCCTCAAGGTCCTACTCTTAGAATACATTACTTAGCTCTGAGGAGTTGGGTGAAGACTTTATTTTCAAATAGAACGTATTAATTTCTGTCGGGCATGCACATTAGAGATGCAATTTTTCCTGTTTTTTTTTTCTTTCTTCTTCTGGATGCCCCCTTATACCCAGGATAGTAACAAAATGTCAAGGGTGGAAAGATGGGAGGGGACCCCATGGATGTCTTTTGTCTTTCCATGACCCCAGATACTGGAAATTGGTGCACCAAGGGGGGGGGAAGGACATAATACTTTTTTTTTCCTGAAAGGGTTTAAGTTCTCTTTCTGGAATACTAGGAAAGGTTTTGTGTTAGGTTTGGTACTTTTATTCAGGTTCTGAGCATTTTGCTAAATCTTCTGGTCAATCTCAAAAGGCTCTGATGGCACCCATCCTCATGCCCTGGTATAGAAAATGACTACTGAATTATGAGTGAAATGTGTATTCTTATCATTTCTGAAGATTTCAGTGCCACAGCAACATAATTTTTAGAGCTAGAAGGGACCTTAAAGTATATCTGCCAACACCATCATCTTACAGAGGAGGGAACTGGGACCCAAAGAGATGAAAAGGGCTTGCCTAAGGTCACACAGGTATTATTAAGTAGAGGAAAGATTCAAACCAAGGTCCTCTCATTCCAAATCTAATGCCCTTTCCAACGTATCACCCTGATGTCGTTGATTCAGTTTGAAGAAAGTACAACTAAAGATAAAAGGAGGATAAAATATATCCTAGCCTGTCAACCCGTGTTCTTCCCTGTTACTGGTATGCTTGATCAGTTCCACTCTCATGGGTTTTCTAGAAAGTTCTGCTGAAAAGTTTGTCTGTTCAGAGATCCATATACTTCTGGCCCTTAAGAAAGGTAGGCTTTGGGGAAGCTAGGTGGCGCAGTGGAGAGAGCACCGACGCTGGATTCAGGAGGACCTGAGTTCAAATTTAGCCTCAGACACATAACACTTACTAGCTGTGTGACCCTGTGCAAATCACTTAACCCCATTGCCTAACTTTAAAAAAAAGAGAGAGAGAGAGAGAGAGAGGCTTTAGTAGTATCATTGGAAACCATAGCATGGCTGAGATTGGCAGTGATCAGCTGAAAGTTCAATTCAGGATGCCTTTGTACCTGAGCAAAAGTCCAGTATGTTGGATAGTTGGATGTCATGCATCCATAGGGCATTTCACTCCTTTGGGCCATCATTGCTTAGAGGAGAGATTGTGATTTCCCCACAAAGGACAGACTAGGTAGTGGTAGTAGCTGTTAGGTAGGCTACTGGCTTCTTTCTGGAAATACTTTTGTATGGCCAGAGCCTATCTTAACACCACAGGGAGCAGCTTTTGTAAGATGTAAAGCAGGAAGGGGCCATGATTTACTTTAATCCCCTGGCAGCTAGGTGGGGCAGTGGATAGGGCACTAGATGTGGGACAGCTCAGGAAGAGCTGAGTGCAAATCCAACCTCAGACACTTACTAGTATGACTCTGCAAATCACTTAATCTGAGTTCCTCAATTTCCTCATCTGCAAATGGGGATAACAATAGCATTTCCTTCACAGGGTTGTTGTGAAGAGCAAAAGCAAAAGCACTGGTAAAGTGCTTTGTAAACCTTAAAGCAGATATAAATGCTGCTATTATTTATTATTATTGTTAGATGAGGGGAATGTGGCCTATGGAATTGATATGACTTGTCCAAAGTCACGTAGCTAATAAGCAGCAAAAACAACAACAACAACAAAACCCAACCAAATTCAGATTTTAAAATCCAATTCAATCTCCTACAAGGCTACCTCTAAAGCTGTGCTAAGAGCCAGGACTTTATTTTTCTTTTTAGACATTTTTAGCCCTTTCCACAATGGATGGTACAAAACCTGGGATACTCTCGTGAGACTTCATAAGATCACAGATTTAGAGCTGGAAGGGAACCTTAGGAAACATCATATCCAGCTCCTTCATTTTACAAGATGACAAACCGAGTCAGAGAGTTAAGTGACTTGCCCAAAGCCACACAGTTAAAACATGTCTGAGGCAGCTCTTCCTGGCTCCAAGTCCACCACTCTATCCACCACACCATGTTGCCTAGTGGGCGAGTGTGTCTTCTGAGTTTGTAAAACATAAAGGGTGTTTGGGCAGGTTCCTATTCCCTCTCCATTACCTGGTCCCCCCCATTCAAACACCTTTTGATTACTTCTTGCGTCCTCCTTTGGGCCTTTCTGGAGAGGAACTCAGTAGATGTCTGGGTCTTTGCTTCCTATTCCTTCACCCTCCCAAGCCCTACAGATGTGAATTCCTGATCCACTTGAATTAGGGAAATCATTCTCATTTGTAAGAAGATTCTTATTCATACTCTTAATTTAAGGTGGAGCAGGGGCAGAAGGGTGTAGGGGTGGCACTGACTTCTTTCAAGGTTGGCTAATGGGTGAAAGGAGGCAGTCTGGTCCTGCTGCTTGGAAGGGTCAGAGCTTCCAATGAGCTGGATCATTTCCATGCCCGAAGTTTTCTCTTTCTATCCCAGCTTCAGGAACAGGAGCTGGTTGCTACAAACTAAACTCCCAGTGGAGCTCTGACTGTTTGCTACTGCCCTGTCCTTTCTGGTTGCACCTTTCTTGTCTTGAGCTGTGTGGGGTGGGTGTTGGAGTGTGTAGTTTCAATCCATGAATCTTTTCTTTCAGTTCATTTTGCAACTTTTATTCACATCCTCTGTTTCCATCAGAAACCTCTTTGAGGTGAAAATTATTAAAGTAGCCATTCAACAGAGAGAGCTAGGGAAGAAAGATCAGCCCCTGGTTGGGAGATGTCATAGGGGCCATATAGGACATATGCAAAAGGGACATGGGGGAGGAGGAGGGGGTGGTCTGGGGAAAAATGAAACTAAAAAACAACTGTTTTCTATTTACAAATTTAAATAAACAGAACAGCCTTCCCCGTGGTGTTTGTCTAAGTGTATCAGCATTGCTGCTGTGTAGGTCATGAAAAGGTTGGTGCAGAGTTTAAAACTTCCCATTCTGTTAATTTCTTAAAGAACAGTCGTTCAGAGTCTGGACACAAAAGCTCATGATTTAATGAGGAACAGAAACAAAATCTCTGATTGTTGGTGTTTCAAACTTCCTTGGCGTCCTCTGGCAACCACAAGTTGATCCTTGGCGGCTTCAATACCCTTTAGCCTTCAATATAAGAGTACATGCTGAATAGAGAACAATGGTCGGTTGTTATGTTTATTTACCCTTACTACAAGCTGGGTTAACCTCTTCAAAACAGCTTTACTAAGCCCGTTAACCACACCACCCATATGACCTGTAGCAGTATCTCTAATGTGATGCAAATCGGACTGGAGACCATATGCACCAGTTCAGCTGTATTGTGTCTTCTCAGAGTACAAGTTTATTGCAGACGAGTCTTGTCCCCACCATACATTGGGGGGGGGGGAATAGCCTGAATGGCAAACAGTTAAACAGGGAAATAAAGGGGGGGAGTGACATCATAGAGTTTGGAGTTTTCTTGAATTTATTTTTTAATTATCTGTAACTAGGGATCCAAAACATTCACACAGGATAAAGTCTCTTTCACGTATACATATATTTTGTTAATTTTTTCTTATTAAACCTAGAACCCAACCTGGAATATTTATTTTTAAAAAGATATTTTCATAAGTAAATAAGAGTAAGTGATCTACTCACTCCCAGAACCCTGATTGTTTTCCTCCATATTTTTGAAGCAGACATCATTCTTTTAATCTAACATTTTATAAAAGGGGACATTTGGGGCCCAGAATAGCTTGTGATTTCATTCACAAGTTCACAAGTGAACAATTCCTAACAGAGTGAGAGTGATTAGGAAGTATATGATTGAAAAAAGGTTCAGCATCCTCTCAAACCCTTTTTTCCATTGGTTTGACAGACCAGTGAAATTGTAAGCCAGTTTATACATCATAGTAGGAAAAACACTGTGAGACCCTAAGTTTGGGGCCAAAGGGGAGAAAGCCCATCTTTCTGATAAGGTGTAGTTGGGAGAAGTGCTCCAGTATATTAACTAAAATAAAAACTAACATGAGCTCTAAATGGAATTATATTCCAATCTGGCATACTAACAAGTCCCCAGTGTGACAGTCCCTCTTTAAGAAACCCACTGTATATGTTCCGCCCACCTGGGGAGAGTTTCTTTTAGCAGATCATTTTTTCTTGATGGCTGTGGCAAGCGTAACAATGTTCTGTGCCTGCTTCAGTAATGGCATGTCTATCATACTCCCATGGAAAGTAAAGGCTCCCTGGAAAACAGAGAATACAAACTTCCTGAAAGAATGCTTGGAAATTATAGGCTTCCTTTCTGCACACACTTGTGAAACAAGAACATTAGATCCCACCTGAATCATACTGACTTTTCTTACATAGACTTTTGAGAAGGCCAAAGTAAATAACAAAGGCAAGATTGATTTCCTCTCCTCCCAAAGAGATTGGAAATGGGGGAAGAAGGGGGAGGGTAGTTCAGGGTTTTAAAGAAGATGAAAAACACCCAATCACAATGTGTGGGAAGACATGCACAGAGTTTAACTCTTGATATTAAGAAGAAATCAAAAGTAGATTGATCCTCAAAGTCAGTTGCCAGGTAGATGAATACAGGTCTTTGTTATAACATACTCTGTCTCATATTTTACCTATACCTAATATTTGGAAAAATTTTTGCTTAATAACTGGAAAACAGTAATATCCTGTGATAATTGATTAGCTTTAAAAAGTTTCATTTAAAACATGTGGTTAGAGGAGAATATACTTATTTTGAGCCATAACAGAACACAATGTTAGTGTACACTTAAGTAATTAGTAAGGAGTGTGGCGTGGAAAGGAATACGGAACTTGGAGTCCACAGATATCGGGATTCAGAATTTTCCTCTTTTCTGCTTATGTTAGCTGTGAGGCTATGGGCATAATTAGGTCTTTAAGCTTTAGTTTCCTCATCTGGAGAAAATAATATATAGGTTGTTGAGAATTGCATGAGATAATATATGTAAAAGCACTCTGTAAGCCTTAACAGGCTATGTGAATGTCCTTTATTATGATTATTATGAGACTATATAGAGAAAGCTTGAAGCGTAAAATGAATAGAAAGGATTCAGGTAGCTGACACGTCACTTATGACAACTGAAACAACATGGATCGTGATGTTGCTCCTAAAGACATTTAGATCTTGGCAAGGGTTTGTCAGAAGAAAATATTAACTATTTTTGTATTGTACCAGAGAAAGGTTAGATGACTAGACTCTGAAATAAATATCTTGGCGTAGAGGTATACCTGCTAGCTTCTTTTTCTCATCTCTATCTTTCCAAATGTCTCACTTTCAGGATTCAGAGTGGGAGTGGGGAGTGGGAATGGTCATCATGGACTGGGTATGTGGTTTCTATATGCTGTTAGTGGTGATAATGTACATATGTACATTAAAGTCATTTCCATATGCTCCATCAGGGATTGTTGCATTGAATAGTTTGAGGGACACCTTTGTCAGGATTCACCTTTTTACTTTCCTTTCCCCCCCCCACCTGCTTGCTTCCTAGTGGGGTTTGTGAGGTCTTTAGAATAGTATTATACAACACGAGGAAGCTCTCAAAATAATGGTATAAAATCCTGAATTTATAATAAAGTTAGGTGTCTTTTTGAATAAAGGCAATTTTAACTAGCCTTGAATCTGTGATCACTGGGATAGGGAACTCATAAGGGAGAGAGGTTCTTCCATCAACTTATGTTGATACATTCTCTGAAACTTATATTCTTAGAGTTACCACATGAACCTATCGCTTAAGTAGCTACCCAAATATCCCATAGCCAATTGTGGTAGTGGCTGGATTTGAAATTACATCTTCCTAGCTCCAAGGTCAGTTCTTTACCTACTATTGAGAGGCAGCCGAAGTTGCCTAGAGAAAGGTTAAACATTAAAAATAAACAAACCAAACAACTTATAAATAATAGGTCACATTATAGAACTCCTATTATATATTAATTCTTTACAAAGCACTTTCTCCTCCTTCCTTCCCTCTTCCTTCCTTTCTTTCTCTCTCATCCTCTTTCCTTCCTTCCTTTTTCTCCTTCATTGCTTCTAAACTATACTGATGAAAAGCATGACACGGATAAGATCATCCTACACAGTTCTTTATCAATGGTCAATGGTATCTTTCTGCTCTAGTTATCAATATTTTTAACAACATTTATTTATTTATCTATTGAAATTTATCACAAAACATCTATTGATGCCCATAAGATAAGAAGCTGCTTGAAAGAAAACCATTAAGTAAAGGGCTGAGGCAAACATTCCCTGTATGCAAAGTGCTCACTTATCCCCGGTGGGTCAAGAATTTCCCTTCTTAATAGTCTGTAGTTTCCTTATAAGCCACTTTCCTCATCACAGCTCTCTGAGGTAGGGTAGTGTTAAGTACCTGCTGGCAAGTTGGCAGCCCTCATTTTATAGACGAAGAAACTGAGCCTCAGAGAATATAGAATTCAAATTCGAACACAGGTCTTCTGACTCCTAGTTTGGTGCTCTTTTCCATATACCACCCTGCCTCTCCATAAAACCATAAAACCCAGTTCATGACATTTTCCCCAGCTGTGCTTATATACTTCCCAGCCCTAGTAACGATACAGCTGATGAGATGGTGCATCAGTAGCCTAAAGTATTGGATTGTTGGTCACTTTTTCTATCTTGATTAGTTTTGTGTTTGTTTTTTTTTTAAAAAGTTCCCTGACTGATTTCTTTCAGGCCTGGGCTGAATTTTGGTCAGTCCCTATGACTGTGAATAATTTACATTTAAAAACTACATCACTGATTTTAACTATGATTAAAAAAAATCTCCCCCCACCCAGATGCATCCGTGCTGCTCTTTATCCTCCTAAACATTTATATATTTGGCTGGCAGTACAGAGGATGTTCCATAGGTTAGGTTACATGTGAAATCAGGGCATGGAACACATGCTGTTTTACAAGGCAATAGTCTAGTTTTCTTACTGAAGTAAATGATGAAAACCAAAGGCCTCCTGGTTATCCACCCACCAAGTGGATTATTGCCCTGTAAAACAGCACATCTGTCCTGCTAAGACCTCAAGAATAGGCTGGAGAAAGGAAATTAGCATAGATGCACATGAAATCAAAATGATGCACACGGAATGGAAATGACAGTTTTGGGCATATGCCATGTTCCCTGAATCTGCAACATGAGTCAGAGTTCCATATGCATATCAAAAAGGGAATATTCCTTATAGTTTTTCAACATAGAGAGGCAATTTCCTAGTTTGTCCAATGAATGAGTTTTACTTGGTTTGCATTACTGACCTCACTCTGGAGCATTCAGTTTTCTATTTTTTTTTTTTTTACTTTATGTCTCCCACATTCTTACCACTTTTAAGGTTCCATATTTATAAGATGCCCTTTTTTATCTCATTTACAGTTTCCCTAGCTGGGATTCCTAATTATTCTCTGATGTGTTTCATAGATTCTTTTATGTTCAGCTCGAGAATACACTTTTGTGATCCCCAAATCTCAAAGCTCTATCAGCAAAAATAATGCATTTAGCAAAGAAGCTACTTAGATTTTTGGTGAGAATTTGAAATTTCCCTTTGTGAATTATCATAGATTGGGTATTAGTTTCATAGTATAGCACTTGCCATTTCATTTGGATGATGTTTCCTTAGTTTTTGATATATTTAGGTAAGAAAAATGCCATTAAAATGACATGTATGAAAATGTCAGGTTGAGGTAGCATTGGAGAAACCTTAACAAACCCAAAGATTCAAAGTAAATACTTACTTGTCCAGATTTTTTTTTTATTGATTTCAATAGTAAATAAGTGCTAATGGGATATACTGGTGATAAAAAAAAACAAATTCATTTTTTGTCCTCTTATCTTTTCTTTCGACATTCTTTCTCTTGGTAATTTCGTTCATTCCCATAAACTCAACTACCACTTCTACATAAAGAGATTGGTGACTAGTAGATTGCTATCGGCACCACTGGAAGGGTTATCCACATGGAAGAGATGATGGATCCATGAAAGCATTGAAGCTCTGAAGTATAATTTCACTTTGATGAGTACTATGTGTATGTAAATAGTCCATATTTATGAAGCATTTTATGGAGGGAACTTTGTAAATATTGAGCTTTATTCTCCCTAATGCCTCAGTAATTCTCTGGCAATTAACTCTTTCCAGCCCTGAAAAGTTACTTATTTCTTGGACAGAATTTGACTTATTTTCTGATAGCTAAAGCTTTGATGATGATGATGATACCTATGTTTATAGGGAATATACCAAATTATTCTAGCATTTCTGGAGCTTAGTCCTTGAGGAATTCTTTCTAGTGTTAACCAGAAAAATTTCAGATTACTGTAATTGGTCTAATATTTTCCCCATTCGTTTTATTTTCAAGTTACTTGAGCTTTAGCATGTAAGGATGTAGTTATCGCATATCCTGATGACAGTGTTGCTATGCTCCCTAAGGTAAGATCTTCCCTGTCAGAATTAATAATAAAACGTAAGTCCAGCCATCACACTGTTTCCTTCAGGATGGAAATAGTTTCCAATAGTTCTCCAGTTAGTTTCTCAGCTGATGACTCAACCCAGCTAATCTCTGAAATCTCCACTTCATAATCCTTACAAATTTCTTTTTGAGATTTGGAATCTACCTTCTTCCTAAAATCTTCATGTCCAATTCCCTAGGCCCACCTTCTATAATGATGCAATGATTCCTTATTCATTAATGACAAGCCATCACCTGCTCCTTCAGTATTCCATGGCCTGCCACAAACCATGCTAATTCTAGCTTCACTGTCCCTCTTTCTTGAAAACCTTTGATAGCCAATGCCTCTTTCTTAACCTGTGATCTAACCTACCTATCAGGACCCTTGGAAAAGCAATAATCAATCCCTTTTGATCTGGCTTCCTCTGAATTCAGATATGGTATTCCACAGAGAACATAAGACTGAAGATGGACAGCTAATGCTCAGTTGATTGAGTATCAGGACTCCTAGGCCCAATAATAGGGGCACCACAGAACTGGGGTAAATTATTCCAATGCATCTCACAGGAGGTTAAACTGCCCTTATTGAGGATGTTGGCTTGCTTAGAGCTCTAGGAAATAAGAATATGCCACCCCCCAAAAGACCAAGGGGCAGCAATTTAGATTTGGTTAAGGCACATAACAAAGGAAAATTATTACTTTGCAATTCTTAGTTATGCTTTTTTTTCCCTGATCCTGGTTACTAGGAAGGATTTGGGACTGTTTTGG